AGACCACTAAACACCTCATGATACTAACACTGCTATTTATTACTGGTCTAAATATGAGCAGCTGTATTTTTCTTCCCCATTTTTTCCACACTAACCAACATTTCCACAGCTGAGAAATGAGAATGTAATAATAGCTCAAAACAAACAGGCCTTAGACAAAAATATGACTCACACACACTCTGACATATATAGCACTGTGCACAAGTCAGAGAGCCTCTCATTTACTAAATATCCAGTCAACATGGTCATTAAGTGAAAGTTATCCATTTTTCAGGAGATGTTTGTGAAAAGATTAGACATAAGATAACCCACTTGCATACGGAAGAGGAAAGTCAAGGGAAAAAACAAGTTTCAAAAACTGAACTTCAAAAAATTCTTACAAGATACAGAGAAAATGTGATAACTAATACCTGTGTACACTCTCAGAAATAAAGGTAGTAAACTGTCACTGGAGCAGTACCCCTCTTGTCACTGGGGTGGTACCCTCAAGGGTACATTTCAGTACCCTCATTCAGGGAACATAATTGTACCATAATCCACTGAAAATTTTCTCCACACACCCCGTCTCGTCTCCAGGCTTTTTATTTTATATCCTTTTTAAAACATTAGGTTATGAAAAGGTACAAATACGTACTTTTCACCTGGAAAAACATGTTTAAGGTTCACAATTGGACCTTAAAACCACTGTTGTACCTTTGAGGGAACATTTACATTGTTTGTACCTTGCTGGACTAAAACATACCTGCACAGCACCTTTATTTCTAACAGTGTAAGATCTGACAGACCACCAAAAATGCCACCATCAGATAAACAGCACTTCAAGCTCCGCTCTTGCTTCAGATCTCAAAAAATCCACAGTTGTTTCTGTCCATCCTTCCACTGTGAGAAGACAACTCAATGCTATGGGTTTGAAAGGATGTGTAGCTGTCAAGAAGACCTTACTAAGAACAGATAATAGACAAAAAAAGAAAATTTGCAAATCATACAAAGAAGCTGCTGGTGTTCTCAGAACAATGGACTGACCACCCCAGAGTCCAGACCTCAACATGACTGAATGTGTTTAATTACTTGGATCGCAAGAAGCAAAAAATGCAAACAACTTCTAAGACTGAAATTTGGAGGTGTGGAAAAATGTCCCTGCAGATTTCTTTGAAAAACTGAGTCTCCTAAAAATGCTAAAAAACTGACAATATATGTAGTTATTGAGGCTTTTATACAGTTGACTTTTTTTTTGTACTTAGTGGCTGTTTTGCCTGGAAAATAAATAAATGAAGGGTGATCTCTGACTTCTGCACAGTATTGTATATTCCTGTCGTCCTACTAGATATTTGTCCTCTGTATGTTTTTGATAATTTCCTATTAAAGATGATAGCTTAGCAAAAACTGAATTTACATATTTGATCCCTTACTCCAAATGCAGCCGAACAGCCAAGACATTGAGTCTGTCTCAAAAGGCACCCTAAGGCCTGCAATCCTTCTCAAAGTACACAGTTTAGTAAGGTCAACAATGTGTGGACAAAAAGGGCAAAAGACTTTAGGGGGTGTGAGGTTCAAAAGCATGCATTTGGGACAGACTCATACATCGTGCAGGCTGTACATGAACTAACTTGCTAACTGAATGGCTCAATATAGATTACAGCAAGCTAAATTAATCAACAACTGCATTTTTAAACTCATAACTGAATATCTTCTCCACAATGCTGGTCAGATAGTTGATCAGGGCAGCCCCTCCACTCGGACTGGTCTTCACCTGTCTCTCAAGGAATTTTGGATAAGAGGCTGCTGCTGAGTCCTGATCGATGCAGGCCTTGCCATAGAGGGGCGCTCGTGAGCACCTTTTTCAATGGCAAAATGAGAAATGGGACACCCTAGAGACTTACGGTCATCAGAGGCATGCATAAACTAGAACTGCAGGACTACAGGAGATACAGCGCTGGAAGTTCATTTCTGCAGTTATGAGGCTAAAGAAGCAGCTAACAAGTCACTGGAGCTTACATACATCAAGCTTTGTGCAAACTACATGCTTCAATCATCACACACTCGCCTCAGACTACATCACATTGCTAAGGAACCTGAAACAGACTTGCTTATGACACTGTGTAACAAATCTATAAAAACGAACAAATCTATTTCACACTAATAAAATCAATGGCAGGAGCCATCATGACGCCTGAATTCTGAAAATACTTTTGTCCATTTTTACAGATGACAGTATGTCATACAGTGTCAGTAACCACATAAATGAGTCTATTTGAGATTACGTAGCAGCTCAAACTTTAAGTTAATCTTTGGCTTGATAGGAAGTAAAAGAGAGAGTTTCAACTCTACTTCAACCTGCAAAGAACAACTGGAACTATTTGTGGAACAGATTAACTTTCTTAATACATCCAATCTAGGAAAATATTATCATGCATTATTGTTACAAAAATTAAACTAAGTTCCGATGCACACCACATATCGGATTTCTTTCTCTACTACAAGCCAAATGTGTATCCATTTATCTGTTATTTTGCATTTTCTACTGTTAACTCAGTGCAGTCTGGCTCGTACACAAGCGTCCGGCAGCTCAGCCACTAAAAGCTCCTTACGGACTTTAGTCATTTCTGTGCTGAACATTCTCCAGAAACCAATCTCCTTCTTAAGTCCTATTCATTTGTTTGGCTACCAAAATAAATCTCCCACTTTCATTCACAATGGGACACACACACACATATGTTTCTGCAAACAGTACACTTTAAGATTTGTTAACTTCAAACACACTCACCATCCACTTTATTAGAAACGGTTAAACTGTACTACTTTGTACTGGTCATTTTATGAGCTTCACTTACTTATACAGTGCCTACAAAAAATATTGGTACCCTGGTAAACATAAGCAAAACACACTGTAAAAAACATTCTTTGTTGCTGATCCCACCTCTGGCGTTTGTTGCCTAAAACCTCTGTACAACTGTGCTGTTATGTGAGTTTTTACAGTCAAGACAAGCTATGAGGTCAATTACTGACCACTGATGAAGGAACAGAGAAAAGCTAACACTTCCAACAAAGTGCCCAGCAAATAACAGGCCCTGACCAATGTGATGTGGAAAATATTGGCCAGCATCGATTTTATCGGGGCAAAAATTACCGATAACCAATAATTATATCGGCTGACATCATTTTATATTTAAATATTATACTCCAGTAGTCATAGTTAAGTGCTTTGCTGCCTCATATCATTGATAAGAGCAGGAACTCACAGGAACTTGCAGGTTTGGTTTCTGTTAATTACCTCTTTGCCTTATTGTTCATCAATTCTCTTCTTAAAGCTACGCTAGGTAAGTTTTAGGGATTTGGAGACCTCTATTGTAGAAACATGTTCTTGCACACTAGAACATTCTGTAAATTTGGTTGTGCTTCTCAGTCCTTCCTGAGCGGATGAGTCTGATGACTGCGAGCATGTTGAAAGAGTATTCAAAGAGAATTCAAAACTTGGAGAAGAATGCGTTTTCCAAGGATTGTTATTATCTACTATTGTCAGCATATTGTCTTCAGTATTATGTTGATTTTGCAATCGAGACCTAAACATCGAGCCGGACCTTCTTTTTCTGAGCCTGTATGTGTGACAGTAATACTCAAAGATGTGTAATGTCTGAAAAACTCTTGTGAAATCCCACCCGACAGCTCTGACTTCTAAATGATTATTTTAGGGTTTACAGTGTGACTCGCAGCAGAAAATGTACAGCACATTTTAGTGCGTTAGACTGAACTGCTGCATCTTTCAATTTTAATACATTAAACAGGAACGCACAAGAACCCTGTTCTAGAAGTAAAAGTCGATATGGAATGACTTTCCAGCTCAGACCTCGTAAACATAGGTAGCTGTTTTTAGAGGGAAACAGCATATAGTTGTTTTACTCTGAAAAATGTCCATTTGAACGCACTTCAAGCTGAACCTACAGCCCATTCAGCCAATGAAAAATCATGATGCTGGAGAGGGTCCACCCACCCAACATGAAGGCAGCCAAGAAATTCCACAATCGGTAATAAAAGTAGTGTGTCACTTTCTAATTTTCTTCAAACATATGTGCCATTTGTTTGGATACGTAGTCTACTCAATGTCAATAATATTATTTGATGATTCATGTGTTTGTTGCTTAAAATGTAAGTCAGTGGGCTCAGTTTAAAATGTCCACTATAATTTAGCACGCTAGTTAATGTGCATTGACTAATGCCCAGCTGGGTGTCCTGCTAATGTCAGCCATTCATTGCGAACTAGGTGTCTAAATATTTATTGGTTGATTCTAAAAATCCACGAATGGAAAAAAAATCCATGAAATGTGAAAATGCACCAGAAACAAGCATCACATTCCCCCAGTAAAACCTGGATATTTACATCCCTGTCTGTATGCATATATTCAGTAAATCAAAGCAACAGAAAACTCCATGAATGCACAGTGATGACACAGGAGTCAAATTCATTCATGGTCCAACCAGATACTCTCAGAAGGTCAGATCTGGTTCATCAGCCACACAGGCAAGCCATCATGAATAGTAGAGTCAAATAAAATAAATCAGACTTGCATCAAACAATGCCTCGCCGCTGACTGCAGTCCCTCATAGACGAGCTCGTTAGTTTGGGAAGAGGAGTGCAGGGCCTAGGGGGCATCACTCATGCACTCGTTCCACTCGCTTTCGCAGCAGTGATTCATGCCAAAGCGAGGCGGCCTGTAGGATGACCGAGGCCAAGCTGGAGCTTCGGTCAGTAGCGGATTGCCTAACGGCAGCCTCGGTGTCAACCTTAGTGTGCCGTAGCTCTGCTGGACCAGCGTGGACGCTGCATTTGTATCAGCACACATACATACACACGCCTCCCTCGTTCACTCGCCTCGGCCGCACGTCCCTCTCTGCCTGTCCTCATCCGCATCCCTCCATCTCTGTCGCTCTGGAAACCCACACTCACACACGCACATGCACACAGAGGAGAGAGGTTGTAACCATAGCAACCCCATGGTGCTTACCTGCTCCTGAATGAGCTGAAACAGTGAGCTCCTATCCATATACCGGGCAATGCTTCACCAACCGCCGCGACGAGAAAGACACACATACACGCACACGGCCGCGCACGACACGCACACACTCGCGCTCACGCACACGTACACATGCTCGCACTCTGGCACGCGCACACGCGCCCGCCAGTCGCCTCAGCCCGCCTGCCCCTACGAGGGCGACACACATACACATGCACGCAGAAGACGTAGTAGTATTTGCAGGGCGCCCTCCAGTCCTCTGCCCACGTCCGGACCCTTGCTGGGGGAAAATCCGGTCAAGTTCCTAGTCAGGCTCCCTCTCCCTCTCCCTCTCTTTTCCACACTGCAGCTACGCTTGCCTTCTCCTTCTCCCTCTTTCCAAAACACACAATGCAGCCCTTGCTCTCTCTCCCTCTATCCACCTCTCTCTCCCCCCTCTTTCTTTTCAGCCCTCGCTTCACTCTCTTTTCCTTTGCCTTGTCGTGTCTGCGGCTGCCTCTACCTATATGTAAATCTCCTTCTCTCTCTCTCTTACTCCCTCTCTCTCTCCCTCTTTCTCTCTGTCCTTCTTACAGACCGCACTACCTGAATACTAATGAGGAAGGGGAGGGAGGTGGCGGCCATCACCCAATAGGAGCAGAGGGGGCGTCTCCAAAAGGCTGCAGCTTCGCCTCTACACTGCAGGAGTTCAGACACACTGCAAGACACGCATATACACACAGACACGCTTAAGTGTTACGCTTATCTTCAGATTCAAATCTTTTATACGTTTTCACACACTTTTATACAAGTATAAACAAATACAGTACAGTGTAAGGCACCTAAGTAGATTGTTTTAAGACACTTATATAGGCAATACATATTTGCATGTAAAAACACCATATAACATTAGAATAAATGCAAATGAACAGTAATGCAGAAAAATCTAATTCAATCTTTTGAGCTAGTTAGAAGAACACGTTTGGTTCCAGATTTCTCCTCGATGCCCCAAGCCAATGCAAATACTTGTTAAATTCCATCACCAGCATATCTGATTTGATTTAATATAGAACTGATTAGATAAACTACTTGTGCAAAGGTTAACACCCTACAAAGACCACCCTTCACTTATTTAATTTCCAGTGAAACAGCCATTAAGTACAGTTACAGAAAACCTATATTTTACAGAAAATTACATGCCTCAACAATCAAACATAATGTCAATTCTTTTCAGTATTTACTGTGTTTTTTCAGTATTTACACACTTTACCCTTATTACAGCTTCCATTCTTTTCAGGAGTCTTGCTTTCAGTTTTTAAAGACATCTGGAGAGATATTTTTTCACACCTTCAAAGTTCAGTCTTAGAAGTTGGTTGCATTTTCTGCTACCTACGATCCAAGTAATCCAAACACATTCAGTGATGTTGAGGTCTGAACTCTGTGGTGTTCAATTCATTGTTCTGAGAACACCAGCAGCTTCATTGTTTGATTTACACATTTCCTCCTTAATTGTCTATTTTCTTTTTTCAGTAAGAGATTCTTGACAGCTACACATCCTTTCAGACTCCCAGTGTTGAGTTGTCTTCTCACAGTGGAAGGATGGACAGAAACACTTTTTTCAGATCTGAAGCAAAAGTGGAGCTTGATTTTCTCCTCTCAAAAGCTTCAAGTGCTGTTTATCTGGAAGTGAAAGCTCTGGTGGTCTATCAGGTGTTGCAGGGTTATTAGGAGTCTCATTTTCTCTGTATTTTTTAATTATTTAGTTGAACTATAGTTTTGGAAACTCTCGTTTTCTCTCTTATTTTCCTTTGACTTTCCCTTCCTTATGCAAGTGGAAAGTCTAATTTCCTCAGAAATATCCAGAGAAATTAATAACTTGTATTTACTGGTTGTCTTGATTTATAATTAAATAAATGAAGGGTCTCTGACTTTTGCACAGTACTTTAGATATTGGATGATAACTACAATTAATGGTGTGCTTCCAAAAAAAGACCTCTGGAATTGGTTACACTTTTAAATCAATACAAAATCTTACTGTATCAATGTTATTTATACTTACTCTAACATTAGTGTTTTTTCTGATCAAATTAATACTTACCACCCAGTTACAATCACAAACTAACCATACATTTTATCCAGCATGCTTACCAGGTACACATGATGTCTGTGAACTCTCTCTTGCATGTCTGGAACACACACACACACACACGCACAGAAGTGACTTTTGCTGAATAATAAGAAACATATTATCACATTTTTAGACACATATTGTCTATTTTGGGAAATACACAGAGTGAATGGTGACTTAGAGCTACTGATTATTCTATCACATAACTTCTGTCAGCACATAAGCACTAATTGTTGAATATAAATGGGCACAATACTGGCAAATAAATGGGTAAATATATGAAAGTAGTTTTCATATTTGCCCAATGACTGAAGACAGTGGTCATTCTTTTTGGACCTTCTGTTCTGTCATAGTAGAAAGTTAGATTTAAGTTAGAATACTGATGGAGTGTTCAGAGGTCTCCAAACACATCAGACACAATCCTTCTGAATGATGTCCTCCAAGTATAAATCGTGCTAAAAGCTGGCCGTATGATCTGAGGCTAATAAAGCAGTTGGGATGTTGATTTGTGCTTTCTGGAGGCTGCCTGTGTCTTTTTTTCTAATTTCCTGAACCACAAATTAAGAAGCTGACACCCACGTTTTTTCGGCAGTTGGCAAGTCTAAAAACTGCTCACAAATTTCTCCTCACAAAAAATAACACGAGGATGTAATAATAGCCTGTAACCTTGTATAAGCAGTTACAGTGGAGTCTAAAAGTGTGAGACCACTTTGAAAGTCTGCTTGTTTCATTTAAACCTGGATATAAGAGAAGGTTTTAGAAGCTTTAAAAATGTAAAACGAACAAAGGTTATGACAATTAAATTGAAAAAAAAATCTGTAATTCTGCACTACTTCTAGGTTTTTTATTCAAACTGAGGCAAATATGTGACACTGACCATGCAAAGGCCTTTGCATAAAAAGGTCAGTTTTGTTTAGCCTTATTCCTTCCACTAAAGCTTGTGTTCAGGTGAATTTGATCTACTGCTCAGAGACTTTGGTGCAAACTTAAAAGAGTCCATGCCAGCTCGAGTGCACACTGTCATTAAAGCAAAATGGGGACATAGCAAAAACTAAGAAATTCTGAAATTCATGTAAACATTCAAAAGATTCTACTTTTCACTCACATCAGTATGTTGATAATATTATTTGTAATGAAAAATATTGTATTAAACTAGAAAAAATGCAATGTTTTTTACCTTTTTCACAAGCATTTTTACTAGTGGTCTGAGACTATATCTTGCCTATTGGATGAAATATGCTAAATGTTTTTTAACCTTTTTTTTTCTCTGCCTCTGGGCAATATGACAATCTTTCATTTTATCATGTTTAAATACATCAAATCACATGAAAACATGTTTTTCTGAGTATAGTGTGAATATCATTAGTATTTACAGATCACTGACCAACTGCATGTTTCTTCATAAAGAGAGCATAATCAGTCCTGTTTCACTGGATTTATTGCAGTATATTAAACAGTGAATAAAAGGCACTGTAGTAGTTTTTGATAGTATTTTTAATGTGGCACTGGTTCTTTTTTGTCTGTTCCAACTTATCAAACCTCAGAAAAACTAAATATCACAAAACCTATAGTGTATCAGGAAAATGTCTTCAAGTGTCATGATTTTTGTCAGCTTTGACTGTGGAACAGATTTACTTTTGTCAAAGCCTCCAGTCTTGCAAAAACATTATCTTGCATTTTTATTACTAAAAGGAAGAGTTCCTATGCTGAAAACAAATGGGAATGAAATTTTCTCCACTGGAAGCCAAATGTGGATTTGTGGAATGTTGGACTTCAGCTGTAGACTAACCTTTTTGTAACTTGAAGCTTGGCTAGCTTTTAAGTAGAAACAGAAAAGTGGAGCTCTTCTATTTTTTTTCAATTTGTCACTGTTTTCTTATTATGTAAACAGAAAGTCTAACTTACAGTAACATTTTTCATACAACCCCAATTCCAAAAAAGATGGGACAGTGTGTAAAATGTAAATAAATGTAAATAAAAACAGAATGCAATGATTTGCAAATTTCATAGACCCATATTTTATTCACAATGGAACATATATGAGATGTTGAAAGTGAGACATTTTACCAATTCATGAAAAACATTAACTCAAATAGAACTTGATGGGGCAACGCATCTCAAAACAGTTGCAACAGGGGCAACAAAAGGCTGGAAAAGTAAGTGGTAGAAATAAAAACAGCTGGAGGAGCAATAGTTGTTCACCAATCTGCGAAAAACTGTGTTTAAACATTGTGGAAAATTTTCAGAAAAATATTCCTCAGTAAAATTTTAGGATATCCCACCATCTACCGTACATTACATTATCAAATGATTCTGAGAATCTGGAGAGATCCCTGTAGGCAAGGGACAAGGCCGACGGGCAATATTGGATGCTCGTGATCTTTGGGCCCTCAGGTGGCACTGCACTGAACACAGGCATGATTTTGCACTGGAAATCACTGCATGGGCTCAGGAACACTTTCAGAATCATTATCTGTGAACACAGTTTGCTGTGCAATCTGCAAATACAAGTTAAAGTTGTATCAAAGAAGAAGCCATATGTCAACACAATCCAGAAACGCCGCCGTCTTCTCTGGGCCAAATCTAATTTAAAATGGACCAAGGCAAAATGGAAAATGTTCTGTGGTCAGACGAATCAAAATTTGAAATTGTTTTTGGAAACTACAGACACCGTGTCCTGCAGACTCAAGAGGAGAGGGACCATCCAGCTTGTTATCAGCACTCAGTTCAAAAGCCTGCATCTCTGGTGGTATGGGGTTGCATTAATGCCTATGGAGTTGGCAGCTTACACATCTTGAAAGGCACTACCAATTCTGAACAGTATATAGAGGTTTTAGAACAACATATGCTCCCATTCAGGCAACGTCTTTTTCAGGGAAGGTCTTGCATACTTCAGCAAGACAATGTTAAACCACATACTGCTTCCATCACAGCAGCATGGCTATGCAGAATAAGAGTCCACGTGCTGAAATGGCCTGCCTGCAGTCCAGACCTTTCACTAATAGAAAACATTTGGCTCA